CGTGCGGCCCCGAGCCGCCTGTCGTGAGCACGGCGGGCGCGGAAGAGGATGGTGACGGCGCCCGCGGGAGGATGGAGTCAGGTGAGGGGGGAGGAAGCGGGCCCCGCCGCCCTCAGTGCCGCTTGTCGCCCCAGTGCAGTGTCGCGGAGCCCCCGCGCTGCCTCCTGGGGCCGCCGCGGAACAACGGGCCCGGCCGCCGCCGCCTCCGCGCACGCGCAACTTCTTGCCCGGGCACTGTGCGGGGAAGAGCGCCGCGTATCGCCTTCTCCTCAGCGCGGGCCTGTGCTCTCCGCCTCCGCCGGCTTGGAGCTGGGCTCCTGCCCCCGAGACGGGGTGAGGCGCCCGCGCTGCTTGGGCTCGGGTGGCTGGGCAGGGCAGGGCAGGGCAGGGCAGGGCATCTCCTGCAGCGCCGCCCTGGGACCAGGACCAGGGGGTGCAAGAAAGCAAGTGGCTGCAGTAACTCTTTTCTCCGTAGGGAAATCCAAAGGCTGGAGCTGTCCTAGGGGCGAGCACTGGTTTGGGGAGGAGATGTGAAGGAAAGGAAGGGGTCGGGTGACCTCAGTTCAGTTGTAAAAAGGTGAAGGGAGCGTTTGCAGGCATTGGGTTACAGACCTGTACGGCTACAACCTGGATCCCTAGGTTGCGTAGAGTATATTAAACGAATGCAAAATAAATTGTGGAGCAACTGGCATGACCGATGCAGGATGTATTATAAACAGAGACGCTTTCATAACACGCCGTACTTACAGTTGAAGTGTGCTGCTTTACAACTGTTAATTTATTAGAAAAGATGTATGGTGCCTGAGTGCCTAGAGTTAATATTCCCCAATCCGAGGAGAGTTTTGGTGAAATGCTTTATAGGTTGATCTAACACAGTTATAATGAAACAATTTTCATAGAATCGTAAACAATGAGGTCACATCTAGTCCACGCCCCTGCTCAAAGCAGGACCAGCCCCAACTAGATCAGTCCCTTGTCTACCCCAGTCTTAAAAGCCTCCAAGGCTGGAAATCCCACAACCTCTCTGGGTACCTGTCCCAGTGCATTTCATTCTTTACACCACTCACTGCTGCCCTTTGCTCATGTTGAACAACAAAACCTGTTGTGTTTTTTTTCTGAATATATTCATTTTCAGCTTCTGCTTCTCAGGTGGTAATGCAATGGTGCACTGTTTGCTTTTCAAACTTTTTAACATATGCTTAAATAGTGTACTACCCTTTCTTGAAGCTTAAAGATGTCTTGAAAATTTATATTAATATTACCTTTGATAAAGGTACCTTTTTAAATTATTTTTTTATCAGAACAGAACCTACATTTTGGACCTGAAGTCTGAATAATCCCCATTTAATTTAAGGGTCTTAATTGTGTTCAGAACATCAACTTCATCATCATCATCATCATACACAATTTCATAACACACCAGTGCCTCTTTTATTCCACTACATGATTTCATTAAATTATTCTAGAGCAAGAGGAGGACATGAAGATATACAAGTACCTGACACACAAGTAGACCCATTATATATTGACATAAATCTTTTCAGGATTGAGGTCAGATTGTAAGCTTCCTGGGACAGGAACTGTATCTGTACAAATGCAGTCCCCTTCCCAATGGGAACCTATGGATCTCTTATCATGTATAATTTCTAAAATATGTACATTATAAATATGTTTATAGTTTACTATTAAAGCATTAGTTCCTTTATATATTTCTCAAATTTCTGCAGTTTAAAGGAAAAATGGACAGCTGAAGAACTATTCAGCAACCTTTACTAACAGAATTAACTTCTATTTCTACCAGTATTAGTAATCATTGTTTATTTTTAGAATAGGTAGGTCTTATTTTACTTCTAAAATCACAATTTTTACTCTGAAGCCTAAAATTCAAATCATATGCTTCATATCTCTAGTTAGCAGACCAAGGTCCTAGTCTTCCTAACATTTAGCATGTGCTTCACAGTCAGCTCAAGTAGTGCTACTGAAATGAGTGGGAATCTCTACTTAAAGTTAAGCAGTCACATTAATGCAGGATTGATGCCTATCATTCTACCCTTGTCTCATACTTTTAGGATGAAAACCTTAGCCTAGTGGAGTCAGTGGCAAAGTCTCACTGACTTCAGTTAGGCTTCCTAGGGTCAAGGTATCAGCTGTACTTATCTCTTGGAGCTTCTTGAGGATCAGTATATGACGCAGAAAAACCTTGTGCCCTCACAATGGCAATGCTTCATGTGAAGGGAAGACGCATTAAATTCTGCTGCCAGAATAAAGCATAGCTCAGGAAATCCAAGAAATGGACTAGTTGTATAAGAATCCCGAAAGGGTAAACCGAGCAAAATGGAGTTTGAATTTTCTGTTACTATTCAGTTTTATCCAAATGTGAAAACAAGATCACTGTCTTATCAGACTTCCTAGAAGAATTTCCAGAAACAGATGAGCCAGTATGGATCTTGGGGAAACAACACCACCTTAAAGCAGGTATGTGTATAATGAAAACCATTCTGTAAAATACAGGTTTTATGGTTTATGAGCTACAGAATTCCACCTACATGAAGTACTGTGGTGAGCAGAGAATACATTTCTTAGAAAGCAGCCCCATTGTACGCAGTCATGGACACACCCAGTGTGAAATTACCTGGTCGAAAATTCACCAGTGTAGGAAGTGTGGCATCTCTCAGCTTCTGCAGAGCAGGCACTCTTGTGCTGAAGGCACCTTATACATTATGCTCGTTATTTCTAGCCATCAAACATGCAAGGAATAAAGAGCTGTCTTTCTAGGGATGTTTACTATCAAGGATACTGTTTATTCTCTGGGAGGAAAACATTCTTCCATGACATTTTCGTATTT